ATCTATCCATCTATCCATCTATCCATCTATCTATCTATCTGAAGGTGTAAAAGTGGTACTGTATGGAAAGGATTGTCAGTGCTATGGAAGAGAACTCCAATAAGAGAAAATTGTTCTCTCTCTGGCTCTTTCTCTGTGGTTTAATCAACTGTTTATGCTTTGTAATTACATTGAGAACTCCGATAAGAGAAAATTGTTCTCTCTCTAGCTCTTTCTCTGTGGTTTAATCAACTGTGTTATACATGGATTTTGAACTACATGGGGGTCCATTGCGCCTAACCCCAGGATTGTTGAAGCGAGAAGTGTAGTTATTTTTATAGAGAGAGAATTTAGTTTTTCTGGTTCTAATGTTTTAATTTGGTTATTATTGCAGTTTTATTTGATAAGAGAAAATTGTTCTCTCTCTAGCTCTTTCTCTGTGGTTTAATCAACTGTGTTATACATGGATTTTGAACTACATGGGGGTCCATTGCGCCTAACCCCAGGATTGTTGAAGCGAGAAGTGTAGTTATTTTTATAGAGAGAGAATTTAGTTTTTCTGGTTCTAATGTTTTAATTTGGTTATTATTGCAGTTTTATTTCATACTCATGATATTTTAAGTTGTCCAGAGTAGTGGCCTGGCCATTAGATGGATGGGATAAAATTTAAATAAATACATTTATTTAAAAAAAAACTACACTGGAAAGTGATTTTACTTTGCTACAGTTTGATTCACAGCCTGTATTGTTTGAATTCACAGCCAGTGCGCACACAGGAACTGTGAGTTGATTCAGGAGTTTACTGATCATACTAGACGCAATATGATTTGCATTCCAGCCCACAGCCCCCTGTTCTTTCCTTCCTTCCTCTGGTCCCAGGTCTGTGGATCCCTCCTTCCTCTGGTCCTGCTTCTGCCAATCTGACAGAGTACTGATGGGTGTGTAAATAAGGGAAATAATGATAATGAAGATTGATTGATGGGGGTGATCGAGTGTCAATCTAAAATCTGTTTAAAAATAAATTTAAAAAAATAAAAGAATTGGGAGGACGATCGAGGGAGGGGAAAGAATGCCAGGGTGGTAGTGTTCCCCTGGTCCTGAACAGCGCTTGTAGACATGCCTGCCATCTTTATAGACATGCCACTCCCATCTTTACAAGAACATTTTGCAACTAGCCACAAGGGGTACGCCCATTGGAATCATTCTGGTTTGAAAAAGAAGCCCCACAGTAGTAGAGGGGGAAGAAGCCACTTTGGGACCAAAAAAGGCTGGACTGATTCAAATCAGCCTTTCTGTCATATAGTCAGTACAAAAATACTTCGAATTCTCCCATTTTATAAACTGAGCATATCCCATAGATTTGACCATGCAGTGGCAGCTTTACTCTAGATCACATACTTCCTTTTATGTCCAATCATCTGCTTATCTATTATGCTACTCCATTGTCCACAGCTCTGCATATTCTTGGAGCAGATACGTTCAGCCTGTCTTATTGGGGAGTCATTTAGGCTTTGTATTTCCAATTAGTCTTAGGAACCAGTATGAACCGAAAGGAAAGCTGTCTGTTAATAAAATGTCTGTACTTCCCTAGGGTTGGATGAATGAAATCCATAACTATGATCCGGAAACCTACCATGCTACATTGACTCACTCTGTCTATGTGAGGCTTGAAGGAAGCACCTTGAGACTTTCGAAACCCAATAAAAATATTTCCAGAAGGGCTACTTACAATGAAGCCAAGCCAGATGTTACCTATGTTAGCCAGAAAATTTATGACCTTACGGACAGCAAGGTGAGTACTATTTAAACTCCTTTTGATGGTGGCTGTGTGTTTTGTTTATTGTGGCCCTCGTCAACACATGAAGAGTCCCTAGATGCTAGGTGACAGAAGAGTGGTATGAACAAGATACAGTATAGGGATTTTATAAGTGGCAGCAATCTATGTCATTTGAAGTGACTAATTCTGTTTTCAGATGGAAACGTTGCTTTCACGTGCTGTGAGTTTCTCTGTTGTAGGGTTGGGCAAAGTGTGGCCCTCCAGAAGTCATTGGACAGCAAGTTCCAACATTCCTCACCATCGGCTGTACTGGCAAGGATTGCAGGGAGGTGCAGTCCAACAACAGCTGGAGGGCCACAGGTTGCCTGTCCTTGCTCTACTCCCCTGTGTGGCAGCTGTTGAAATGGAGCAAGGTCTGTTGGTTGCTGAGTATCCCATTGTGTTGTTGGGAAGAAAGACATGGTGTTTTTGTTTTCAGTGCTAACTCTTCTGTTTATCACATTCTTTAGTTCTGCCCCGGCTGGCTTCTTTGCAATACACCTCCTTCTACATGTACAGCCCTGCTACTGGAGTTATTGCATACATACATTGTGTAGTAACAGAAGAACTGTTTGGTGATAAATATTGTGTGAGATTCAGCATATTCCTTTACCTAAACTTAATGGCATTAGATGCTTAAAGGTCTTTCAAAACTATGAGTTTGGATTCCATCGATAAATAATGCATTGAAGGCATTTTACACTAAAATAACATTGTTTGCCCTGTTGCAATTAAGGTTAGGATCATATTTTGTAATTTAGGGGTAAGGCTCTACTATCCCATCCATATCTTTTCGAGAAGAACCTGTGTCTGCCTCCTAATATTTGGCATTGCTCATAATTAGATCCTCTTAGCTGCTTGCAAGCTTCTTTTCAGCTGGTTTCCGAAACTCGCTTTCTTTCAGTGAAGGGGAAATACTAGCAACAGGGTAGTCATTCAGGGCGTGATTGAGAGGTGATACGAAGTCCTGTGAGCCTGATCTTTCTAGGCTTTTGGAAAACCTTTGGAAAAACATGTGAGCTTTCTCTGCCAAAGCTTAGAAAGGCCAGTTCTGCTTCCAATTTGTTATGAATGATGGCTATCCTTGCCCATTTCTGGCTGAAATCCTATCGCTTAATGTGGCCATTTGAATTAATGAAACGCACTGAGTTGACTCACCCTACTGATTCAGTGGGCCTACTCTAGTGCAACATGTTATACTAAGCAACAGGATTTCAGCAGCTGCTTCTGTATTTGATTAATTCGTGCTCTCCTACGTTCCCTTCCTAGTGAGGTAGACTAGGAAATGGTTTCATTTTTTTATTTCTAGATTCATCTGGTCCCCAAAAGTTTGGCTAGAAAACGAATCTGGAATAAAAAGTATCCTATTTTCATTGAGCTTGGGAAACAAGATGACTTCATGGCTAAAGCCCAGACTGATAAAGAGAGCTCAGAAGAGAAGCCTCCTGTTGAAAAAACAGACCCAAGCAATGAAGAATCCAAGAAGCTATCTCAAGACGGGGCAAAATCCACCATTCAGAAGGACCAAGTACTGTATCTCTTTGGAAGGACTGGAAGGGAGAAGGAGGAATGGTTTAGGAGATTTGTTCTGGCTTCCAAACTGAAATCTGAAGGGAAAAAGCCAATTTCTGTATGTGGAAATAAACCAGGTAGGACCTGTTCTTTCCTCCTATTAAGACTTCTTAGAATCACAATGAAACATGTCCTTAATAAAGATCCATTGGCATTGTTTGCTCCATCAGGAATACTGGATATTTAATCATTGAAATAGAACATATCTGAGCTGCAACTCACCCTAGAGTCTTTCTACATATTAAAACTCTTCATTTGTATAACCTGCCATTGTAATCTCCTACAATAAATGGAAAGGGGGCTGAAAATACTCTCAGTGCCCAGGATCCTGTTGGGTTAATGTGAACATGCAAGGGCAGTTGCACAAGAAGAGTTAGCCATCTGGCTGCCCGTTGTGTGCCCAGCTGTGCCTTGGTTGTACAACTGATGGTGCTGTGGATTGTGCCCCAAAACCACTGGTTTAGTTGCTCTTCCATGTGCAGTGGAATGCGGCAGGATTCTGGCCGATACTTTGTTATATTGATTGCTGTAGTTGTTTAGCTTTCCTGAAGTGATATATAAAACTAATATCTAACCTTCAGAATATTACATATTCATTTGTAATACACAGGACGTTTTGGCTAGCATTAGCCCAGCATGTTTCTGTTTTAAAGGTTATTAGTGAAGGGACTTACAATAAGTCAGGGCACTTAGCCTTGACGGGTTGGCTTGCTTCTTATGATCTTATGTTGTTTTCCTAATTCACCTCATCTTGTGAGTTATTAGTGAAGGGACTTACAGTAAGTCAGGGCACTTAGCCTTGAAGGGTTGGACTTGCTTCTTATGATCTTATGTTGTTGTTTTCCTAATTCACCTCATCTTGTGAGAAGTGCCACAATAGCTTTAGAATGGTCAAATGTATGTTATCCTGTTTTCAGAGAAAAGCTGTAACTAGCCATTTGACCCATTTTGTGTTTTACTATCCTGCTGAATAAAATTGGACCACATAAGATTAGGATATATGAGAAGCGGTCAGAGGAACAGAGAGGAAAGTTGGTCTGAGCACAAAATGACCACATCACTTCTGTTTTGAAGCTCCGGGATTGTATTACACTGTGACTGATGAGGAGAAGCAAAAGGTGGTAGACCCGTTTAGAATGTTTAGGTTTGCCACCATCGAGCAACAAATACTAGGGGGCCAACTCATACCCATTCAACAGCAAATATACGTTCCTTCTGAATTACAGCATCTTGGGTCAGAACCACAGTCACCCGTTGACAGCTCTGTATTTAGGAAAAACAAAGGCACCCACTGCGAGAGAGGTATAATCACTGAGATTGATATGAATCTAAACATCCTAAAGAGCAAGAAGCATCAGATGTCCTATCTGCATTTTGTGATTTTAAAATCTAATGCGGCAAGTGGCCATTAATTCTTCATAAGTCCATTTATCTCCTCCTTCGTCTTCCATCACAAATCATTCCTCCTCTTTGGAACATTTGGGAAATAAATAAAATATGGTTGGACAGTTGTGGCTTGCTATCATCTGATGTTGCTGGAGTTCTGTTCATTCTGCGCTTCCTTTTGGTTCCTTTTCAAGTAGCAGATGCTTCATGCAATTGCCAAACTGTATCTATCCAATTAAGAGGAGATGCTTTTAAACTCCTGATTATTATTATTATTTTTATTACAACCATTTGGCTTGAGACACTATCTGGCACAGCAGTGTGAAAATCCAACTGTACTTCACTAACAATTGAAAATGCATGCATATGGGAACTGTGAGTGAAGTTTCCAGTCATGAGCATAGCTAGATTAAAGCCAGACTCAAGTGTATTGCAATCTTCAATAGATGGCTTGGAAGACACTGGATTCCTTTCAGCAGGTGGTAGGTAGAAACCAAATGCACACTTTTCTTCTTGCCATTCTGACCATCTCACTGGATTATTGCCACCTTAATCATGTCCATTAAGTTTTATATTCAGCAACTCATTAATGACTGGCTTTCTTCCCTCCCTCTTGTACTCCTGCTGCATTTAGGATTCTTGCCAACCCACAGCAGATCGAATAGCCAGTCTGGAGGTCTCACGCACAGCCGTAGCAGCAGCAAAGGCAGTGTGGAAGAAATCCTTTCTCAGCCAAAGTCGAAGGAACTGGCCACCAGCACAAGACAAAAAATGTTACTGGACTATAATGTCTACATGGCCAAGTGCATTCCACAAGAACATGCAAGCCCCATTGCCAGTCCAGTTCACAGTGCCAACAGCAGCCCTACAGCTATGAAGAAGGTGAGGTGGGATGACTGACTATTCTGGGCTGAAATGTGGTTTTTCCCTTACATGTCTATTGTGTACTTGATGTTTCTTGCAGGCAGTCACAGACTGGAGTTTGGTGTTCATAAGGGTGTATGTTCCGTGAGCATTTACAGAACTTTCCCCACTCTATCAGCATTCACTATATGCCTAATGGCTGAAATCCTTTTGAGTAACTATGCAGGCATAACTCAGTGTTATGCTCACTGTAGCTACAATGACACCAAGGCAGAATTGTGATCCACAAATTATTTCCGCCAGCACATTGCACAGTTGAATGTGACAGAAACCACGTGACTGATTGCTCAATTGAACTGCATAATCAGCAGTGCCTGGTCATGCAAAACTCCAGAAAGGTATACCTACATATCTTTAGGCTGCATGGCAGCAAACAGGTATTTTATATGCTTTATATTCTTGGGATGGCTCGCAGAGCAAAAAGCAAAGATACAATATTTAAAAATCATATCAGATTTAACATCTGGTGGGAGGGGGAATAAAAACAGCAAAAAAAAGTTTCAAGTGGAGGAAGAATAAATTAATCAGCTGCTTAGATCTTTAAAGAGAAACTGAAATGAGTGAGTATTCAAGGTTTATTTAAAATACACATTGGCCCAAATCCTCTTACATAGTTAAATGGGCATAGCCCAAATGGCAGAAATCTGGAGATAATTTCCCCAGGTTAAGAAATCACTCTAAATATTGTCTGTTGCATACTGAATTTTGTGGCTCACTGTGCAATTGGTAATATCTATGGTGGTTTCTTAATTTGGGGCAATTTGCCTTCAAAAGTTATGCCATTTGTCTAACTATGCAAGAGGATTTTGACCGTTCTGTGCATAAGGTCTGAGTGAACGAGAGGTTTTGATCTGGTACAAGAGAAATGAACTTGTTGCCGCAGAGTCTGTCTAAGCATTGTTGTGCTCCACAGGCTAAATATGATGATAGGAGGTTAGTGTGGCTGGCGCCTGCTTCTCTGCAGTCCTCATATTGTCAGTGTGATGTGGGGCAGCTTTATTTGGGAAACACATAGTACTTGTGATCCACTCTTCTCTTATAGATAGCAAGAAAATTATGTATTGTCCTATACTCTCCAGGTGAAATGGATGAGTCATCATTCAACATTATTTCCAGGATTTCCGGTTTGGGCAAGGAAAGTGGACAACTGGGGTGGATGGTGAGATAAGATTAGGATCCACCAGAACATAAGTATGGGTGCGAAAGATTAGCGCACTGCAGAAGTGGCTACCTGATCAAAGAAATGGCATCATGACTAAGCAAGGTCACCTGATACCCCCCAGCCCCTTTTGAGCTGTGCCTGATTCTGTAACTGGCAACCAATGAGCATATCTAGAAGAAATGGACTCTTTCCCTTTTCTCTAGTGCGGTTTTGATAATTTGAGGAAGATCAAAGTCATAATTGCTGAACACTGTTCTCTTATCTGACTTAGCATTCATGAATAGCATCCTTTGTTTTAAGGGCACTGCAGACGAGGCACTAGTATTATTAAGGGTGGAGGCCACACTGCAATTAGAGACAGGATATAACCCACCTTCCTTTCCACTCACTGGTACACTGTCTGGGCTGTAGCACGGCCTTCCCACAGTCACTCTTACGGGAACCGTTACATCTCCTTTCTTAGCCCAAACTTATCTCACCGTTCGGCCCTGGCTCCCCACTCTCCCTGCCCAAATTGGTAGGTCTTGGAAATAATGTTGAGAGGGGACTCCTTCATCTCACTCGGAGAGTGTACGACAAGTACATAATTGACTTGTGACATATACAGAAAGAAAGAGCAGATCACAACATGCTTCCTTTCTTAGTAGAGATGTAAACCCTTGCTTGTCTCTTCTTCATGGACATGGATGAGGCATGGCAGCATTCTCCTCAGCAGTGGGAATAGCAAGGAATTTCCTGAGGATTTTGAAAATATTTTGTAAATATTGCCTGAAAGGAAAAGCCTGGAATGGCATATTTGTGCAAAACTGTTTAATTTATTTGTATAAATTGTGCAATGCATCAGCCATCCAAATTGTCCAAAAACAGGATGTGACTTGCCCACGTTCTTGCCCCTTCCTGAAGCAACAGTCTTCCTTTGCCGTAGCCCAGTTTTATAACAGCCCACTGGCTGCCATCTTGCAACTGGCTGGTTATGATGATAAGTACTGTTTATGATGTCCCCAAATCTTGCAATTCCATTCATCAGGCTCCCACGTCTGCTGGCAACTGTAGACTTCCAGATTTCCAGTCTCTTCCTAGTTGTTGCTCATCCCTGTAGCAAAAGCTAGGAAGTTCAGTAAGGGCGACTGTGAAGGCACCAACCTGTCCTCTGATTGCCCAGCTAGCCCAGGTGTCTCAGCAGTTCTTTCTTGTGCTGGCTGCTGACTTTCGGCTCTCATTAGCTCTTCGTTGTTTCTTAAAATGAACCATTGTCTCCCTTGGGGAAGAACTTTGACTAACGTACATCAGATACTGTGTTTAACATGGTGACAAGTAGATAAAAATTATTTCTATAAATAGGTTCATGCCAGTCAGTTAAATGTGTTCTTAGGTAGTCATCTCTCTAGATAGTAACCGAGGTGAAAATGTTTAGAAAGAACTGCTGGATAGCTCAGTGGTTAAGGTATCTGGCTGTGGAGCCAGAGATTGGGAGTTTGATTCCCCACTTGTGCCTCCTGGACAAGGGCTGGGCTCCATGACCCATAGGGTCCCTTCCAGCTCTGCAGTTATAAGATGATGGTGATGATGATGATCTGTTGCAGCCCTCTTGTGAGAGTTATTAAAAATGTGGTGGTGGGGGGGGCTTTGCTTTTTACCAGTTGCCAGATGCTCATGATGAGGAAGAGGAACAGGAAGCCTGGGTAAATGCTTTGCTTGGAAGAATCTTCTGGGATTTTCTGGGAGAAAAATACTGGTCTGATATGGTCTCCAAGAAGATACAAATGAAGCTCAGCAAGATAAAGGTATCAACCTTTTTCCAAGTGTCTGCTCTTTTTTTTTCTTCATTCTTGAACAAAGGAGATAATGTCAAACTACCTTTGTATGTCAGCTGCTCAGTCCTCTGGGTTTTCCTGTCTGAAGAGGAGCCCAAAGCTGCTGAGCTGTTTCACGGGCACTTCTTCCCCTGGTTTCCTTCTCTTCCTCTGGATAGAATAGGCATGGCCAGGTGACAGCTGGCGGAGGGAGGAATTTTACGGTGCTGGGGCCTCTTGTTGCTCATGGTTGCCCTTCTCTCCCTTGCTTTAGTCTGTACAGTGTCAAACAATTAGTTTTTTGAAACATTGCAAATAAACATCAAAAAGAATTTTAACTCCTCCCCATGTAAGTATGCATTAATGCTCTATACTGTAAATAATCCACCTGTCAGCCTGAAGTACACAGTGCTGGCCACCAAGACACCAGTCCAAACACAAAAGAAACTTTTCCTGCATTCAGTTTCTATTACCATTGAAGGATGATATCACCTTGATCACAGGTGGCTTGTGGAGTCCCCCCCCCCGGGTGTCTCTTGTCTCTAGTCATGAGGACATATGAATTTGACTGAATGTATGTACGCAAAGTAATATTCTTCCAGTAGCCAAAATGTGCCCAGTGTGCTGATGTGACAATGGATTGGGTCATGGAAGCCTCAAGTGAGGGATTGACTGTAGTAGAACCATTCCTTAAATGTCTCACTTCCCTTGAAAGCCCTATTAGTGGCACAAGTCAGTTCCAACTTGATGGCCAAATTGTATTGCACCAAAATGTATTGCAGTGTTAATAGGTGTTCCCAACATGCCCTGTCCCTTATGCATGTCATCCTAGTAGTTAAAGTTTTGCTGTATCCGGCAAAATGCTGCCTCAGTAGCAAAATCTGTTGGTAGTTGAGAATAGAAGTAGTGGTTTCGGTTTCAGCACCTCAAAGAATGAACCAGGGGAGGACAATGGTGCCGGAATCAAAACACCCACTGCATCGTCCCTTACTGATTGTCTTGTGGCGGTGTATTTGGGAAGAGAGAGGGCAGGCAAGGGTGATGACAGGTAAGTAGAGCCCAGGAGTGCCCTGGCAGGATCAAGGACAACGATCCTCTGTTTCTATAGCACACTGCAAAAGAGGGACATGTGTGTATAATGCTGAAGTATAGTTGAGTGTGGTGGTATCCAGTGTGATGTAGTAGGTACGAGTGACAGACCAGGACTTGCAGAACCTGGCTTCAAATCCCTGCTTGGCCAGGGAGTGTGTGAAACCACTCTTTAAATACCTCACTTTACCTTGAAAGCCACGTTGGGGTCACTCTAAGTTGCTTTGGACTTAATGCCATATATCACATAGTTGAGTATTAAGGGCTAAATTTAGTTGTTTGGCCCAGCTTGAGTAAACCCACTGAATCAATACTACTTTGGTAAGTGCACTCTTACGTAAGTTACACTGATTCGAAAGGTCTTCTCTTGTGGGAATTAAGAAGTGAATTTTGTCCAGTTTGTCCGCGCAGAAATGCTAGTGCACTCCCTGTTCAAATCTGGATTGGGAGCATGAAAAAGATAGTATTCCATTTTTCTTTATCAAGTGCTTGATTTACTATGTACGTGCTAGAATTAGGGTTAAATGAGCCCACAAAACAGCCTTTGGGTGGCTATTGGCTTCTTTAGAAATGGTTAATGGCTCACTTATTTCGAACCCCATTAATTTACACTAAAATGAAGCCAAGAACATGCTAAAGTGGAACTAAATTAAGATTTGGTGGGGAGGAGAGACCCTGAGATTTTGCAGAGGTTATGTTCTGCTTGTGCAAGCAGTGTCAGGTGCTAGTTTAGCAATGAATGCCACCCCATAAGCTCATTATGGACAGAGAGCCAAGCTCCGTCTAAGAGTTCCATGATTTCCTCTACATAGTATTGGATGGAGAGGTTGAGCACTTCTGGGGCCCTCTGATGTTTTGAACCACAACTTCCCCAATCCCATTGCCTCTGCTGGCTGGGGCTGATAGGAACTATAGCCTAAAACATCTGGGAAGCCTGCGAGTCTCCATTCCAGGCTTAACTCTTTTCTTTTCAGGCAATTTTTCAGCTCAAAACTGCAATTTCCCACGCTGCTTCTTCATTTTTGGGGAGAACAAAGAATCCCTGTATGCTTTTTGCTTCAGGTGAAACAGAAGATACAGCTTTAAGTATTGTAAGCTTAAAATGACCGGATAGGAAATGTATAAGTAACCTCTCTGAACTACTCCTCTTTTGCTTCAGACTCTGAGCCTGTCCAGTTTGCTTTGTATTTTTTGGGGAGGGTGGTGGGGGATATGGAAGAAACATGTACAGCAGATTCACCGTTTGAAGGATTGGGTAGTGAGTTAAATGGTTGAGAGTGTTCCCTGAACAAAGTTCATTTTTTCCATATGAGCTTCACCTCCTTGGGCCCTGTAGTAAAGCTCTGCTGCTTGTTCCCTTAGTCTGAGAAGCAAGATTGGCTTGACCAGGAGTGGCAAACCTTTGACATGCCAGACGTCTTGGATGATATACCTCCGCCAGTCCTTTATCGCTGGCAATACAGATCGGGGCTTCTAGGAGAGTAGCTGGTCTAGCCCAGGGTGGCAAACCTTTGGCACCCCCAACATCTGGAGTGCAAGGTTTGCCACCCTGAGCTAGACCAGCCATTCTCAACCTTGTTTTGGCCATGGCCATAAACAAATATGAAAGAAATGTAGGCCAAAACATGCTTGTAGAAGTCACATAACAAACCTTATAAGGTGATGTGTGAAGCATAGTTTCCAATCTGTGCCCCCCTTCAAATGTGCCAGAGACCCACATATGGCCCCCTTTGAGAATGGCAGGACTAGACCATATATTATGTTTCTGAGGCTGACTGGCAGAGCAGGCCTTCTGAGAATGCCATCCATCACTTGGTTTGAGTCCTCAGACATTTTGATGCACAGGTGTTTCTCGGTTGTTTGTACTTTGATTTTTATTGATGCTGTATTTGTATGTCGTTTATCTTGCATGCTGCCTTGGATAATATTCTGTGGAAGTGTTACTACAATGTTAAGAATTTTGTACTAGTCCTGTTAGAGTACTGCAGAAGTCAGTGTGATGGGAGTAGATGGGAAAGCAATCGCTGGTAGCGATCTTTGGCTGAGCACTTGTGATTTTTGTTCTTCTTTTGAGAGCTAGTTAGAAGTGCCTATACTTAACACATATGCAATACATAAAGTGAATTTCTGGAGCCCAAACCAAACAAATCATTGCTAAGTCCATGTACATCCAAGCTTTTGGAAGCACTGCCTTCTAAATATCAGCTATCTTAATATACAGTAAAGGTATTTTATCCTTTCTAAAAGCAGCTTGTATGGTTCATTTTTGAAAGACGCTCCCTCTTTGCTACCATTGTCTATCAAATGCAGGCTTGCGGTAGTCAAGGCAAGGCACAATTGCAATCTGTCTTGTGAAAGAAGTGCCTTGCCAAATCAGATAAAGGCGTGTGTGTTTTTTGCAGTTATTTTGCAGTTTTGTAGGATAATAGCTACATGGGCCCATCACCGGATGGCCAGGAGTAACAATCAGCTGTGCATCATCTTCTGCCCATTACTGCTTCAAATATGTAACATCTCCTCAGCTTGTTTCAGACACGATAAATCAAGGTTCTGAGGGGGAACCCTGCTTTACTGGGTATAAGGAGCGTGCTGGTGCTGCAGGAGTGTCTAAAATACTCCACATTAGGCCAGTGGTCCACAGTTTGTTCTTCACAATATGTGATGTAAATATGTAAATGAAAAATAAAAAGGAATAAATAAAATGTGGCAGGAGCCCATTCTATGGCTTGATTCTCTCTTGACAAGGCAGAGAAGCAACTGTATGGCAAAGCCTGGATTCTTTCTGTGGCTTGTTGAGGGAGCTTAAAAACTAGATACTTGGGTCCTTCTGGGTTCACGTCATGATAAACCAGCCATGAAGCAGCTACTCCCACTATGAGCAGGAGTGACTTGCCACCATGTTCCAGCCGTCTGGGTTCTCCTTGACAAGTCAGCCTGTTGGGATGTCTGAATGCAGGCAACCATTCATTCATTCATTCATTCATTCATTCATTCATTCATTCATTCATTCATTCATTCATTCATTCTATTTACATCCCACTTATCTGGTCAATTACGACCACTCTAAGCGGTCATAAACATCGTAAACTTTGTAAACATCTGGCTCCCATCCTATGATATTTATCAGGAAGTAATCCCTGTTGAACAGAAGGAGATTCTTAGATGAATATGTACTGTAAGTGTACTTTTTATGCTATAAAACAAGAGTGACTTTCTTGTTCTCCTTTCCCACCTTCTTTCCAGTTACCATACTTCATGAATGAGTTAACACTAACTGAGCTTGACATGGGCATTGCAGTGCCGAGAATCCTTCAAGCCTACAAACCTGCTGTTGATTATAAAGGTAACATGTTGGTTGTTTTAGTATTGTAGAATGCTTTCATAATGCAAATGTTCCATGGCTGTCTAGCCATGAAATGTTGCTTCTAGCACTTAAGTGGGTGCAGTCAAACTGTGAAATTTATATTGTATTAGTATTTTTCCAATTCTGGTAATAATGTAAATTACAGAGGGATAGCCATGTACGTAAATGCAGTTTAGATCTACTTTTTGCCTGTTTCATTTGTATAGCAGTACATTTAATTTAGTTTGATAGCTTTTTTTGCCACATTTATCTCCCAAGTAGCAAGGTTTCATGTTCTTGAATTGGGGAAGGAGAATTATCATTAGGAGAGGAATGGAACAGAAATGCTTAACCAGAGGAACTTGTGTCCCAGACTGGACATGACATCCTTTCAAATATCCATATCAAGTGATAAACCAGGTTTTTTTTTTTACTCACGGCACTTGTCAATAGGTGGAATTCTTTATCCTTGGTGTGCCTGGCTACAACGGCAAAAGGTTTTATGAGTCAGGAAAAAAAAGGAAGATAGGCACTCTTCCTATGTGGGATGTTTGTGTTTATAGACATATGTGGGGAAATGCTGTCATCTCATCGAGGTTGGATTGTGTCCCCGTGACACCTTGTGTTACGAGAAGAGCAACCAAAGTTCTAATCATAACCATAGCACTTGTAGTTTAGGACTGAAGAAAATCACCCAGTTTGCTGCTAGACAGACATCTGTCTCAATCAGCTTCAAAGACGACATAAGTCCAAATTACCCTGTTGCTCCAAAAATAAGACAGGGTCTTATATTAATTTTTGCTCCAGAAAATGGATTAGGGCTTATTTTCACGGGATGCTTTTTTAATGTACAATCTACATTTATTTAAATACAGTCACGTCATCTTCTGGTTGCTGCACAGTGGTGGAGGGCAGGCTTTCACTTAACTGGGGCTTATTTTTGGGGTAGGGTTTATATTACAAGCATCCTGAAAAATCATATTAGAGCTTACAGTATTTTCAGGTTAGATCTTATTTTCAGGGAAACAGGGTACCTGTTCACATTTATTTGAATTTTTTTTCTGTAGCAAAGAAATAGGAATACCCAGTTTCTAGACAGGATGTCTTGATTGATTTATTTCACTAATACCCTGTATCTCTGTCCCAAAACTGGGACTGAGGGTGTCACAACAAGGTTTCAGATAAATGTAGATAAAAACACCTCAAGTTATATGCGCAGTTAGACAAACTGTAATTTTAAAACATGTATTTCAAAATACATTGATAAAAAAATACAGTTCTGATGCCAAAAGTCCACCAAAATAAGAAGTCTTTGCCTGCTGTTGGGAGGAAAAGAGGGAAAGGGTATCCTGGCTGCCTTGAACAGAAACTCTCTTGCTTGGGAGCAGCCAATGGGAAAACTGAAGTCCGAGCCTCAATTCTGAATTTTAAAGCAATGTATGCTGCCTTGTTTGTTGAATACCTTCTCCTGTTACGAGCTAATTATGAAAGTTACATTTTCGGATACACAAAAATATTAAAACACACACACACAGTGAGCCTAATCTGACCAGGCAGCAGCAATAGAGGAAAGGAATGTCTACAACATGAAAAACAATTACTGTCTCATCCTGCCCTCAAGTCTCTTAAAATCACTGCCTGACTTTCATCAGTGATTACCTTTTTCTGTTTTTTTATAAGATACAATAAAAACATGTTGTACACCTCACCTGCTTTGTAATCATGGTGGTGCTTCCAATATTGTACTGGAAAATGGGGATTTGGACCAAGGGGAAGATAATATTCTCCAGTCAGTAATCAGATTGAATTGTTTCTTATGCAAAGCAAAAGCAAAGTGTGCTGCTGATATACCGCCCCATAGTGCTTAAAGCACTCTCATTATGCAGGCTACACAATGCCGCCCCACCAGCGAGCTGGGCACTCATTTTACCATCCTTGGAAGGATGGAAGGCTGAGTGAACCCTGAGCACAGTTTTGGCTGCAGTACAGCAGTTTAACCACTTTGCCGTGAGGCTCCTCTGTTAGAAAAGAATTGTTGGTATTTTGAACATGCTGATTCACTGGTTACATACCTTTAGTCTAAACTTTAGACTAAAGGTATATATAGAATCTGACTGTTCTTGGTACCCTTTTTTTAACCAGCTGAAGGTAAAGTCTGTATTTAAATATCTGATCTCTCTACCTATTCTGGGGAAGATTACTCAAATTGGTCCTAATTAGAATATTAAATTTCTAGGACTGAGCTTTCATAAGCAGTTACAACTCTAGCTATTCATAAAACATTTTCCCTTTCCAGGCAGATCCTAAAATGAGCTAATGACTGATATCCTATTGACAGAGTTGCACATTGCAAATGCTGTTAACAGCAGGCAATATGTTAATTTTTAATTTAATTTGAAGTTTCCTATCCCTCAGGTTTTGAGGCTCCCTAGGGGTCTCTTTTGACTTGAGGAATCCTTTTAGGAGCTTTGGTGTGTGGAGAGAAGCTTAAATATCCAAATATCCTGCTTGCTTGGATTGGGACAGACAGTAGTGATGTTCAGATATTAAAGGCTACTTCTCATCTGCGCCAGAGCTCCCAAAGGCTTCCCCAGATTAGGAGAGGGTTGGATGTATTAAATTAAATATTAACATCACCTGCTGATAACATCATTATCATCATCATTTACAACACAGCTCTGACAAGATTTCACCCAACAAAATGTAACTTACCCTGTTTCCCCCAAAATAAGACTAATCTGAAAATAAGCCGTAGTATGATTTTTCAGGATGCTCATAATATAAGCCCTAAACGCCCCCATATAAGCCCCAGTTAAGTGAAACCCTGCCCTCCACCATTGTGCAGAAACCAGAAGAAAATTACAAGACTGTATTTGAATAAATATATCTTCATGTTGTACATGAAGAAAAAAATAAAGCATCCTCTGAAAATAAGCCCTAATGCATTTTCTGGAGCAAAAATTAATATAAGACCCTGTCTTATTTTTGGGGAAACACAGTATTGCTTTGACAGAGGAGACGACTACATTGATAAATAATACAGGAACTGCTCCAGGATTGAGACAATCAGATGCATATTGTTTTCTGCTGGTGTTTAAAAAAAAGGGTGTTACAGCTGTCCAGATTTCCAGGAGGTATGGCTGTAGTAGAAGCTGCCTTAACTAGCTGCCAACAAGGGCTGATTGGTCATTTTTTTGTCTCTTTCAGCTGACTTCTCTCTGGTCAGCCAAAACGAATTATTATTAAGTACCTTTGAGAGGATTTACCAGCTTAGCTTGAACTCATTGATTGCTCTTACCTAAATTTGGCATTGTAGAATATATAATGCATTGTTGTACGTTGAGTCAATCAGAGAAATAGAACATCAACAGATCTTTAAGACATTGATTCTGGTTATAGTCTATTGAAGGAAATACTTTTATCTGTTAAGATTAACAAGTGGAAACTAAATCATTTAGCCCATTCACTACCAGCCCCTTAAATGTTTGAGAATATTGATTATTACAAGTTTGTTCCAGTAAATGAAAGACATGTCCTTTTTTTTTTGTCTGAACTGCACGTCCAAAGAGATTTGCCCTTTGAAAAAGAGGCTGGACTGGAGAGGCAGGAAGGCTGTTCCAGCTTGATAGGCTGCTGCTCATTAAAGAACTTATTGTCTCCATTAAATATGCCCTTTATTACAAACAAAAGAAGACACTTGCCTCTTTTTCAGAAGGTTAAAATTGCAGAAGTCTTGGTAGGATAATATTTTCTATTGCAAAATTGCATACTCAATATGAGCTACTGTGATAATACAACAAGATCCATTTCCAATACTGGTATGTTAGGTAGTTCCTCTGATAACATAGATACCCTGAACTGCCACTTGGAATAGTTGTAGTTGTAGTTTGTTTTTGTTTTGTTTTGGCATTAACAAAGGTTTCTTGGTAGTGCGGAGCAAGTCATTATCTCTTGACTTAATCTGCTTTACAGGATGTTGGAGATACCGTATTTTTTGTTCCATAAGACACACTCCCCCCCGCTCAAATGTGGGGGGGAAGTCTGTGCGTCTTAGGGAGCGAAGGCGGCGATTTCGCCCCCCCTGGCCCCGTGGGGGGGAGTGTCGCAAGGGTCCGAGGGAGCCTTCCAGGACCCTTGCGCCGCTCCCCCACCCCCCACGGGGCCAGCGCGGGTGAAATCACCACTTCTGGGACTCTTTTGAGGCTTGGGAAGCTTCAGAAGAGTCCCAGAAAGTGGCGATTTCGCCCCCTCTGACCCCTGGGGGGGTAGGGTGAGTCTCTAAAGGGTCCTAGGGTGTGTTCCAGGACACATTAGAGACTCACCCTGCCCCCTGGGGGTCAGAGGGGGCAAAATTCCCACCTTCTGGGACACTTTTGAGGCTTGGGGAGCTTCAGAAGAGTCCCAGAAAGTGGCGATTTCGCCCCCTCTGGCCTCCGGGGGGGGGCTGGGTGAGCCTCCAAAAGATCCTAGGGTGTGTTCCATAAGACGGACCTCTTCATAAGGCTCACCAATTTTTAGGAGAAGAAAACAGATTATTTTTTTCCTGTTTTCTTATCCTAAAAATTTGGTGTGTCTTATGGAGTGAAAAATATGGTATTTTTTTTAAAAAATAAGCTAAATCAATGTGGCTTTTTTGCCTTAGACTTACTTAGGGGTGGTTGTACAAAGTCCTACACACCTCAAATTGAAATTGATGGGCGCTCTAAACAGGAGAACATCTTGCAAATAAAAGGGTGTTTTTCGCATAGCACAATGGTATGTGGCTTGCAAATGTCAAATATTGCACTTAGTGGATCAGCTGAATGTGTTTTGACTGTTAGAGATTTTTTAATGCTCCTTTTGTGTAAAAGAGCATATTTTCTCTAGTTCCTACTGTAAAAACTACAGGGCAGGAGCTCTGAGATGCTGCTGATTTTCATTTCCTTTCTTCCTTCACAGGATAGAAGCAGCATTTTGAATCTTAAGTGCACATTTATCTGTCCATCTAATAGATGTTTTCTAAAGCATTCTTCTCCATCATTGTGGGATGCTACATTTTTCCAGTGGAGACACTGCACTTTGAGATACAGGGGTAGTCCGGGTTTGGATACATGCTTTTTAATCCCTGCCACTATGAGCTGAAATTTAGGGTGAAACTACAGAGTAGCAAAAATACAAATTGCTCTGCTGTGAATTTGTACCCAGAAAGTTGAGTTTCCCTAGGTGAATTCACTTTAGCCAACCCAACAGGAGAGTGAGAGGATGAAATTGGCAATCAGTCCTTCTTGACAGGTTGTTAAGGCAGCTTCTGCTGGAGCCATCTAGATTTGCCGGAGACACAGTCCAATTCCAGAGCATTTTTTGTATTATTTGCCAGTATAGTTGCCCCACCACCACCAGTTTCAAAGGAATATAGAGATAGTCCCCATGACTTTGAGTGGCTTTAATTTTTATCTACTGAACTGCAGAGAATAAGAGGTGTGGACAGGAATCTAAGGTTGACTCTGTGTCTTTCTACACATAACCTTGCCGTGTTCAGAACTGCAATGCATTTATTCTCTCCTTACTGTTTGAGACACTGATATCACAAGTTAGCTATCTGTGAAATTAATTATTTGAGAAAGAACATGCAGCAAAAAGTGTTTCCGTCAGGTGATGGAAACCAACACTGTTTTCCTTTATTTGGACCACCATGTATATTCTGAGCAGAACCACTCTGCTAAAACCACTCTTTTTCTTTGGTGTTGTCAAGTCCAATCTGACTTAATTACAGCCCTAATATAGTTTATAAAGTACAGTGGTGCCTCGCTATACGATGATAATCCGTTCCACTGAAATTGCTGTTTAGCGAAATCATTGTCTAGTGAAAAGCATTTCCCCATTGGAATGCATTGAAACCTGTTTAATGCGTTCCAATGGAGAAGAATCATCATTGTCTAGCAAAGATTGGCCATAGGAAAGCCGCTTTGCGAACCGCCAATCAGCTGTTTAGATAGCTGTCTTGTGAAACTTAGGTCCCGAAAACACCCATTTTGCGAGTGCGGAGGGAGCTGTCAAAATCATCATCTAGCGAAAAAAGGGTTTGTGAAGCAGGGACCAAACATTGTCCAGCGAAATTCCCCCATAGGAATCACTGTTTTGCGAATCACTACAGCGATCGCAAAAAGTCAATGTCTAGCGAAAAAACTGTCATGCGGGGTAATTGTCTAGCGAGGCACCACTGTACAGTATGTGAAATATATAAAGAGTGGTTTTACCAGTGCCAGGGCACTGTCATTTTCTGTGGCTGATCAGGAATTCAAATCCTTACTCCTAGTCCAAGAGTCAGTCCAGTAAACCACACGGGCTCTCTTAAAGCCAGTCTAGTGACGCATAATTGTGCCTCATTCTGATACCCAACATACTTGAATGTCATGTATACCATTAAAAGACTAACATGTCTGAGACTTCTTGTTTGCACAGTGTACATACCTTCCCTTTATATCTGTGTATATACGTTGAAATAACCATTTAGCAAAAATGATAATATTAGCTTTCCATGTCGCAAATGGTCTAGAAAAGAGGTAAGAAAGTATAAGAATAGATATATGGATAGATATCTACAGTACTGTTTTCTTGGATATTTTGGACTGTCAGCTCTAATCCTTAATTCCCCTCCCCCCACAATGCCAGGGCTTTGGATTGATTTGGAAATATCTTACAATGGATCTTTTCTAATGACCCTTGAGACCAAAATGAATTTGACCAAACTGGGGAAGGAGCCTCTGGGTGAAGCACTGAAAGTCGGAGAAATTGGCAGAGAAGGGTAAGGAACAGTTCTATTGCTACTGTATTTTGTTTTTTTGTTATTATATATTAAAAATGCTAACTGAAAAGGTAACGATGCTTGTATTCTGTGAAAGAGCCATTGAGCCTTGCTTTCTTTATAGGGAGTGATTAGTGTTGTTACAGTTGCTACATCAAGGATAGTATTATATTCCATTGAAACTGATCTCAAAGTACTTGCAAAGTGTGCTTTGTAAGTCTGTAGCAGACTGGATATAGCTCAGTGAATTGGACTACCTAGATGCGGAGCCAGGTATCAGACATTTGATTCCTCATTGTGCCTGCCAGAAACAAAGCCAGCCTATATAGCCTTGGGCAAGCTGCACAGACCTAGAGTGCCCTCAGAAGAACAAGCAGAGGAACACTTCTCAGTAGTTTATACCTAGGAAACCCTGGCACGGGTTGCCATAATTTATAACTGGCTTGACAGCATGTAATTAATTCTTTCATTAATTTGTCATTCTTTAGCAGAGAGGCTTGTTTGGATTTGGGATCCCCTGCAAATTGATGTTCAGGGGAACTATGAGTGCTGTTTTTATAATTACCATTGGTATATACTAACCTAGTTTGCTCAAGCTAAGGTGTTAATAACAATTGCCTGGATTTATTCAAGAAAAAAGGGAGATCATGTGAATTCTTTTGTACACCAAAAATATATATATATTCAGCAGAGTTAAAACCTGGAAAAGGTTAGAAAAAGCAAAAATGCCTCTTCCCTGAAACTAGTATGCTGTGCCCCCTTTTATGTTTGGAGTGTGTGCATCTTTTTCCCCTTTATAGTTACACTTGGTCCACATTACAGTAGAGCATGGAAACAGCAGTTAAACTATCTGGCCCCATCCCTTCTGGAAAGACAAGAGTGTTGTACTTTGGGCATTGTGTCATAACTCATGGGAGATACTGTAGTAGGAAAAAAAACCACATCAGAGCAACAGAGCCTGCATTATTGATGTGAAAACAGTGGGCAATGTCTGTTGTGCTTTAGCAAGAGCTGAGGCTGAAGTCATAATTATGGGAAAGTCCCTGTTTTCCTAGCTATGTTTTCCCCCCATTGATTTGACAGCATTGTATCACAGCTGGTTAGGATCCCCAGTCCTATATGGCATGGCTGTTGTATTTGAGACTGTCACACTCACTTCCCCAGTGGCCACTGTTGCACTGCTAGTCTCAACCAGTGTAGACCCATTGACTCAGTGGGCTTTACATAAGTGTGGACTTACAATACAGCAGTTGTTTATATGGATATGCTCTTTATTGAGATTAGCAAAAGGCTACTAGTTAGGGGTTTGTTTGTCCAAAAAAATCTTGCATATACCTTTTATTTTTAGGTATTTTGACTACTACTTAACTCAGTTTACAACATTACAGCAATAGTGTGTCTCACTATTACTATTGTGTCAGTAGTCGAAATTGCATGGCCTAAGAAAGCGTATTTTTTAAAATCAATTTCTGCTTTGCTTAAATGTCAGCCAGCTAATTCTGCTTAACCCGCATCATCCAGTTCTTCTGGATGAAACTACACAGAAGGTTCACCATATTGTGTCTTCTCTAACTTTCATTTCTTTTCATTCCCCCCTTTCATTTCCTTTCCTTTTTAATAATATTTGGATCCGTCAATCTGTGGATTTTTTTCTGGTGAGTGGTATTTGTCATATCATCTCATTCCTTGTGGAGTGTTGATTCTGTTAGTGCTGAAACCATTCAAAACATTTTCTTTACTGAAAACAAAGAGTGCTTTGAAATCAAGTAATTTAGCTCTGTAGTTTCTGAAGCTGCAAGACCCTCTGTACGAGATCTCACATGGTCTACATTTCTTGAAACCTGTCTCTTGGCCCACTGTAACCCCTTTCTTGAACACAAAAATAAGACTGGATTCTTTACATTCTTTGATGTTGGATGGGTGTTAGCTTTGACTGGAATCACAACATCAGAACTAACTGAGGAAGATGAAGATAAATGAATAATGCCTTCTCTTGCCACATTGTCTGAAGCTGTACCAGCACGTCTTCCTGTGGAGATGGTGAGGGAGAGGAGTGTGCTGGAGTAACACAGTTTCCTCTACTATGCAAAAAGTACTGTTGTTCCTTTAAATTGGAAAGGGCTTCTACCTTTTTGACTTGAATAAGAAACTTGTCTACACAAGGAATTTATTCCCTTTATGCACACTGAAGTGGTAAGTGCAGAATAGCTATACCATGTGATATATTAAGCGGTTTGATGCAGCGCCTCCAAGCCCTGGAGTAAAAAAACAAAAAGAAAAAAAAACACTGAGAAAACGTCCATCCAAAACTTGTCTGCTGAAATCTATGGATAACATTTGTGTCTCTTGTGGTGTTATGTTGGTCATTACAGGTACAGTAGCACCAATCTGAATGTTGATCTTCCATGTCATCTATATTTTAAAATATTAATCAGATCTCCAGGATTGTCAGTGTATTGAGGATGTGTTTCATAGAGCTGAAGGGAAAGTAGCTGTTGGACCAAAAGGTGATGGGAAATGGCTTCACCATTCCAACTTTTTCTCCTGATAGTTTTAATGATTCTTTTGCACAGGGGTTTTCTCTGGCTTTGGACAGAAAAGATGTGATGAACATACATAATACCTTTCTGGGTAGAACCTAAAGCTTGCCACCAAACTCAGTATAGCTACAGATATTCAGGTCTTTCTAACCTTTCCCCATCCACGGTAAACCTTCACTGGATTTTTATTCTGGCTAGAGATCAGAAGTATATTTTGTTCTGTAGTTATAAACTACTGAAGAACACATCTGTACCGCACAGAACTTATCCAATTCATGGATGCCCCCCCCCCAGATGATGGCCAAAGCTGAGGAAAGATTTCTGCGCAGATCTCAATCTGTGACTGCTTCCGGTCAAAAATAGTATTTAATGGGCATCCTTGATTTTGAATTGTACAAAACTATAATGCAAAGAAAAAAAGGGACGTGGTGGCGCTGCGGGCTAAACCGCAGAAGCCTGTGCTGCAAGGTCAGAAGATCAAGCAGTCGTAAGGTCGAATCCACGCAACGGAGTGAGCTCCCGTCGCTTGTCCCAGCTCCCCCCAACCTAGCAGTTCGAAAGCATGCAAATGCGAGTAGATAAATAGGGACCACCACAGGGGGAAGGTAACAGCATTCCGTGTCTAAGTCGCACTGGCCTTGTGACCATGGAAGATTGTCTTCGGACAAAACGCTGGCTCTATGGCTTGGAAACGGGGATGAGCACCACCCCCTAGAGTCGAACATGACTGGGCAACAATTGTCAAGGGGAACCTTTACCTTTTTACCTATAATGCAAAGAAAGAAAGAAAGAAAGTGTTCTCTACATACTCTAGAGCCCTTGGCTTTTAAAAGGTGCCACTACATCTTTGCTTTGCAACCTCCTAGAAGTTTTTCTCATTTGAAAAGAACCCTGATTCACTGTCAGGTACCATTATACATGCAAAGAACAACAAAACAGTAAAGAGACCATCTGAACAAGATATCCTTATTCTGCATTGTTTCAGGTCATCTTAGTATGCTAGCTGCACTTTGAATCCGAAACTGTAACTGCCTTTAGTCTTCTTTAGACTTATATTAAAGCATGTCAGACCTTGATACTACTAGCGACTGGGCAGATGGGCAGATGTGACTCAGCTATGCCTGCAGGGTAGCTGTAAGAGTGAGTGTATTTATCTGAGAGGAAGGGCATTTCTTCAGGAAGTGGCACACAGCACTTGCAAAATCAATCCTGATGTTTCATACAGAAATTCATTTGGGCTTCCTAAGCATGTTCCATCAAGTTTTTTCAAAATGTACTAAGTCAAATGGACTCACTGTATTACTTCGGTACTGTAAAATTTGTTGCATTCTACTCTTATAGAACAGCGGAAGTCAACTTAAGAAGGCAATGCATGTTTGAGCTGTTCCACATTCCATTTGATTGCATGCAGGATGCTCACACACGTGTTCCTTTTCATTGTTGACCAAGGTTTGATATAGCTTATTGAACTGGGAAAAAAGTGGTAGAAAACTGTGGAAATAAAACATATATTGCTATGTGTGAGTCCAATGCATGTTTTAAAAAAGAAAGTGAGAAGATACAGAAGGGTGCAGCAATAATGTAGATCATTTGTCCTCAATTAGGTATCCCTAAAATTTGTTGAGCTATAATTCTCACCATTGCCAACCAATGTGGCCACCAGCCATGGTGGCTGGAGATAATGAGAGCTGTGGCCCAAATAATCTGGTGGGTGTCCCCTTGGGGGAGGCTAATTTAATAGTCTTGTAAGGTACAAAAATCTCCTCCTGGCCCTCACTATTGAAGCTTAACTCCCACACTGAAAATTGGTCTCCTTCCTCTTAGTTTCAGGCCACGCGCCTATTGCCTTGCAGACAGTGATGAGGAATCTTCCAGTGCTGGCTCCTCAGAGGAAGATGATGCTCCCGAAGCAACAGGAAGTGAAAAGCCTTTAGTGCCAGGAGCGGAAGGGTGAGTACCTCTTTGTCAAAGGCAGCCATGGTTGTCTCTGGTGTGAGGCCTACTTCATGATGAGTATTACCACAAATGATCTGTGGTGTGAGAACCAGTTATCTTCTCTCCATCAAAATGTTTGTAGGCCTCTCAGCTCTTCTGGGTACAGGTGAGGTCATTTGAAAATCTACCTTGTCTAGGAGATGTATTAGGACACAATAAAACAAATCCTCTTGTTGTTTCCAAATGCATTCAGCAGTGGCTTTTGTGGTTTCCTGATAAAATGAACAGGTGACTCTTGTTCTTTTCCCTCATATTTCTGATGTAAAAGGCATAAAAGAATGACTGCTTTGACTGTGTTTTTAGTACTACTTATGTTTCCCATTCCTCAGAGTGGTATTTGTTTGTTCCTTTTTAATATTTCTATACTTGGTGTATTTCGCTTTGATTGCCTTTTAATGATGTATGCTACCTTTGTATACTCATTGATTTGTTCTTAAATATTGTCTTTCAATAACGTAAGCCACTTTGGGTCCTTTTCTGAGGAGAAAGGTGGGGTAAAAGTATTGTTTATAAATAATTATTATTATTCAAGTATCAACCGCATAGTGAGGTAGGTGAACTGCATATCCATATTTTTCCATTTATAACATGCTCCCATTTATAAGAGCCCTCCCCCAATTTTCTAACCCCAAAATTAAGAAAAAACTAGCTTTGAGGATTCAGCCTCTGAGCTCAGAACATGGGACATTTTGTCTCTGTTGACTCTTGAGCCTACAGGCTCCACCTCTAAGGAGGTGAGTTCCAATTGGTTTGTTCAGGGTCAGCTGACATCAGTTCCATAAGGCTCATGATTGGAGGAAGCTAAGTCTCCTGACTATAGGAAGCTAAGCCTCGTGGCTGAAGGAAGCCTGTTTACAGAGGCAAGCTACGGGCTGTTTTGTTCTCCATGGTCTCCGCTTACTTCTGTGTATAAGATGCCCCTGAATTTTTAGTGTAATGATTTTAGGAAAAAGTAGCATTTTATACATGGAAAAATATGCTATACATCTGAAATACAGACTGCTTTCCCTCCACCACATGGGCAAATCAGCGCACTGCATGCTGTACAAAGGACAGCAGATAAACACATTACATGGCATATCCTGAGTCAGCACTTCTTTTGAATATCGGAAGCCATCATAAATGAACACCAATGAAACATCTAGCCACAATCTTTGAACTCAGTAGAAACCAATAGGTTTCAACGTTGCTATATGGCTGATTTCAGGGAAAGAACAGAGTTTCTAGGGCAGACTTTGCCATCCTGGGTCCTCTGAATGTTTACAGCTAAATGTGTTGCTGTGTTCAAACTGAGCATGATCTTGAACTAGTGTGAGACAGTTATGTACATCAGCACGTAGTCTGGCCCAGATGGATGTCTGTAGAAAGCACAGGGACAGAATGGTGTCATTACGCCGTTGTTGGGCTTCCTGGGTAACTGGTTATGAGCCAATACTGTGCACATCTTTGGAAATAAGCACAAACACACGCAAAATGAGTTATTACTCGTTATACTCTCTCCCCCCCCCAATAGTAATAATCTTACTCCTGTGCTACTGTTGTCCTTTCTGTGTCCATAAAAACTCTGCCTTAGAAATGGGAGGATGGCTTACGCTGACTCGGGCTGTTTATCTGTTTAGCTCAATACTTTCACTGAATTAAAAAATTAAAATGCAACAAAAAAGAAAAAGAAAATTTTTTACATGGCTTTAGAAATAACTCCTGTATCTTCTCAGACAATGATTAAGAAGAAGGTTAATATATTGTCATTTATCATGGCAGTTCATGTTAGAATAAACAGATTTTATGATTAAAAATAGATGCCTGTCATACTTCCAGTACCATCTGGAAAAGGGAGGTATTCGGGCCAAATGAAAATCAGTTGCTAAACACTTGTAAATGTGTTTCTGCTGTCTTTCTGATAATGGTGGCCACCTAAAGTGTCTCTGAAATTTTATTGATGAGCCTGTAGATCAATGTCGGTTATCTCAGGAAAATCATGAATAATCCAGCCAACTTAACTTGTGATGTGAGCTTCAGAAACGGCTGCTTGTGTTGCTGTAATGGCTGGAGAGTAGCATTATCTCTAGGCACCATGTTGATCCCTGGCATAAGAGCAGTGAACAGTCTGAAGAGAAATCTGTCAAGAGGCCACAGTCAATTCAGGAATGAACTGCCAGCATACATGACTTACTCTTTCCAGCTTCCCAGGAGCATGCCTTCCTTGTTCTTTAAAGCAAGCAGAAAAGTTGCATGGAGGTTTTTCTTTTAGTGCAGTTCCTCCCATTTGCACCAGAATTGTCACCAAGTTTGGAGCAATAAAACAAGAAGCACTGACCAAGTTGCACCGGAAACAATCCCCTTGAATGAGGATGTTTTTTCTGTACTTTTTCATTTATCAACACAGTATATTTAAAGTGGCCCTCTTTAACCTTCTGAGTTTCAAAACTGGTTGTGACTATTGGGACTATATAAAGGAAGTGTGAGAGAAGAAAAAAGAAGGGGAGGGCTTGGGCACTTTTCCTTTTAAAAGCTCCTGCTGGTGTAACTTCACTCCCAGCTTCTACTTAAATTTGAGAGGAGTAAATAGGGCATGTGTGAACAGGTTATTGGACCCAAAGTCTTTAACAATTGGGAAGAGGGGGTGCAAACAGCTCTGGGTCACAGCCACAGTTTTGGCTGGGGTACAGAACCTGCTGGCTTCAAGATGCGTTGGCACTGACTGCCCACCAACCATTGCCAAACTGGCCAGTGTGGAGGAAATAGGCATTCATCCGGAAGGTCCTTTAACTTTAATCTATCACAGTAGCTAACATTTTGAGCAAATGCTGTGTCCTCGGTTTCTGTCAACATTTAAGCCCTCTGGATGTTTTTGATCAGCTCCCACAATTCTTCACCCTTGACTAGGTTGGCTGGAGATTCTGAGAGCTGAGAACCGCTGGAAAGGACATCTGCATCCATCTAGACCTCAGTTCTCTTGACCTAAAATATATAGAGAGAGGCCTGGTTCCTTCCATGCCATAGCCAGGCCACAGCCCCATGAACTCTTCTGTGTTTGCTCCAGAGCAATATTCCCTCTAAGCCACGTGGGTGTGCAGTGCTTCATCGGATGCACACAGTTGAGCCAATATTTCTGCCCACTTACTTCTGGTCATGGACAGAATCCCACATGCATGGGACAAAGCCTCCCCATAGCTGTCCAGAAAATCCGAGGTGCCGCCAATCCTTCCTTCCTGTCCAGTAGCAAAATGGCCACCAGTGGCTTTAAATTTTTCTATTTACAGCTGCAGAACATTATAAAAATGTGAGGACCCTTTTTTTTTACCTCCTAAGGGCTGTTATAAACTCATGTTGATGCCTTTTTCTTATATCCTTTCTCTAAGGTATGTGGGAGGGCACCGAACAAGTAAAATAATGAGATTTGTAGATAAAATCACCAAGTCGAAATATTTCCAGAAAGCAACCGAGACTGAGTTCATCAAGAAAAAGATTGAAGAGGTATCAAATACTCCACTGTTGCTAACTGTTGAGGTACAAGAATGTAAAGGAACACTAGCTGTTAACATTCCTCCACCACCTACTGATAGGATATGGTAAGTGCAATGAAGATTATGTGTTAATTTCTGAACTTCAAAGCTGTCTCCTTACAAGATTTGAAACAAGAAAAGTGTGAGATCTCATGGCTAGTGCTTATAATGATTTTTCATTATGATACCATTGAACTTAGTGTTTTGGAGTATCAGATCTAATCTTAAATATATTTGCAAGGAGTCTCAAGCTTGGTACACTTGTTTACATTGCATCATAGGGCGATGATTGCAAACAGAGTAAATACGTGCTTCTTTGAGCATCTGGGGAGACACGGCAGGATTTTTACTATGATAACAAAACATAATGGTTCATTATCCGTGTCCTCCTCAGGTACGGTTTTCGAAGACCACCTTATCTGGAGCTAAAAGCTCGCCCAAAGCTTGGTGAGAGGGAAGTGACTTTGGTTCATGTGACTGAGTGGATAGAGAAAAAACTGGAGCAAGAATTCCAGGTATGTGATGTCCTCAGCAATCTATTCAATGTTGACTGACATTGGTATGTGCCACTAGTTAACTTTTCTTATCAGTGGTGAGGCTAAAATCAGAAACCTACACATTCCCCTCTGTCCTCAAGTGACTCTGCCATTTTCATTTTTCACAGCAGGCTAGGAATGGAGGGGAGATTAGCAGGGCACACCCACCCATTTGTAATGGATGGGGTTCTAGCCAAAATGCTATTCAGCTACTGTACTTAACATGAGAATCTTGTGGACAGGTGCAAAACCCCCATCTGTGTGAGTGCACAGATGACCACTCAGAAAGCTAATGATACAGATAAGCAACGTCTCGTATTGTTTTCCTTCAGTAAGTTTAATGAGTAATACAGTGGTGCCTTGCTTAACAGTGATAATCCGTTTCAGGAAAATCGCCGTTAAGCAAAAACATCATAAAGCGAAAATAAAAAGCCCATTGAAACGCATTGAAAACCATTCAGTGCATTCCAATGGGCTTAAAACTCACCGTCCAGCAAAGATCCTCTATACGGCAGCCATTTTCGCTGCCTGTATAGCGAGGAATCTGTCTCTAAACACAGCAGGGAGCCATTTTATTTACCCGGCTGCCATTTTGAAACCGCGGATCAGCTGTTGAAAAATTGTTTTGCGAAGAATCGGTTCCTGAAGCAGGGAACCGATCATCGCAAAGCGAAATTTCCCCATTTGGACCATTGTCGTAAAGCAGATTCGTCGTAATGCGGGGCAATCGTAAAGAGAGGCACCACTATACAGAGGATTTCTGAATATAGTTATTGTGAATGATCTCAGACATAAAGCTGATTCTTCCTGCACATGAATTATCAGCCAGTTTTCAATTTCTAACAGTTTTGTCCATAACACTGTATATTTACAGAAATATTCCAACTGAAATAATTTGGTGATGCAGATATTCTTCTCATAATTCAAATTGGTACCTCTTTTAAAAATTCACTGCTACCAGAGGATGCTTCCTTGTTCCTGCCCACAATTTTTGAACATACCAGTTACAGAAGTTTGTTCTGGGTTGATACAAACTTCCCTATGCCACACCTTGACATTTAAATCACTGCTATGGTTCATGCAGAAATGTTTTAATTTCCCTGGGTAGGTGTGTTTCAAGTATCCACGCATCACACAGTCCCACTTTTTCCTCAGCTTTCTCTACCATTACCACCACCTACTTACCCACCCCTTTTGCTACCATTCAAATCCCCCCTTCTAGTGTTTAGTAACTGATAGAGTACTACACTGAGACGAGACATGTTAAGCACTGAAATCAGCACTGTATCAGCTATAGTGCTACCCTAAGTGAAACCATAGTTTTAAAAACACAGTTCACATATTGCAGTCCTTACCAGTGTGAACAGAAAGAAGGCAGACAAAAGGAGTTGAATTCTCTCCATGTTGTGTATCATCACTGATTTTCATGCTTCTGTATTTCATACTGCAAAAGTTGATGAAGATCCATGGTTATGCCTGGTTGCCATAAATCTGTCATATTATACTTACTTTGCTGTGAAGAAGGCCCAATATAACAATGTTATTGCCAGATAGAAAAGCAAGAAGTATAGATTGTAAGTTCCTTATCCATTTCACTTCTAGGTTCTGTCAGAGGGACCCAACTCAAAGGGGAAATGAATTAAATATTTTAAAATAGTATCTTTGGGTCACTCATTTTATGTGAATTGTCTTATAATTAATTTTTATCCTTCACAGAAAATTTTTGTCATGCCAAACATGGACGATGTTTATATCCCTCTTATGCACTCAGCCATGGATCCCCGCTCCTGTGTGTGCCCTCCGAAAGAGTCTGTCACGGATGCTACTGATCAGCCATGAAATGTGAAGACTGCAGTTTACAGTATTAACAGATATTATCATGGTTGTGTTTTTTAAAATGAAACTGTCTAGACTTTTTGTCCTTGTGCCATGTTTCGTTTGGTTTTTTTGAAGAGGATTGCTTTAATGCCACTTGTTGCTCCCAGTGTCCAGATTGTGATCCTATCTGTTTGAGTTACATTCATTCCATTTTCTAAACTGGTCTGTAACCTTGCAGCAGCTGCTGTTGGGCTTTCAGCACAGCAATTAATTAATGTGCAATATGTTGCTGTAAAAAATTAGAAAAGTCACATCCGTGGTAATTGATCCAAGAGCTTTGACATTGAGGGGTTTTTTGTTTGTTTTTTGTGAGCATGCAGCACTGACAGTGCACACGGGCTTGTCTTCTGCAGTCCCACGAAACTTATCGTTGGTTTTTAAAAAAAGTGTGCAACTGGAAGACCTCCCCCATATACTCCTCTTCTCTTTCTCTCTCAGGCAGTAGGAGGTGTAAAATGAACTGGTATGTTCTTTCCACTTCTGCAGTCCGATAGCTTGTGTCAAGCAATTCTAAAAGGCTTTCCGGAGTTAAGAATGTAAATTAGATGTACAGGTGATAATTGTGAATCACTTCACATGGATTATACATAGTAACTTATATATTTTTTTTTCATACAAAATTGTACTTCTTTTGGAAGCAAGTAGCCATATAACACATGCAAGCATACAGAATTGGTTGACAAGGGACCTGATGATTCTTGGGGTTGGGTGGGAAATTAGGCAAAGCCATGACATAAAACCATCATAAGCCTTTTTATTTAGTGAGATACAATCACAGTGTCTTGATTTAACAGTGAATGTTAAGACATTAACACATATGGAAGTATCTAATGCTGTGTTGTACATGTGTCAGTGCACTAGAAATGACTGTACAGATGGAGTCATTCAGCTTGACTAAATTTGTCCCACATTCCTGTTTTCCTTATTTGCATACTCTATTCCTGCATAAAGTACAAGGAGTCCACCTCTGTGCAACTTTTTAAAGAGGGTCAGATCTTTACTGTAACTTGTTTGTCAGTGAAGATACCTGGTAGTCCATCTTGTTGTGAAAACAAGAAGGGCATCAAGACTTCAAAGCATTATGGCCAACACTCCAGAGTAATTGCCTTGCTTTACTTTTCTGTATGGATGTTGTGACTAAACCATAAATCATAAACAATTTTGAACACTACAAAAATGATCAAAACCAGTAATGAGTGTTTCTTAATACTCAGCGTTGCCAATGTACATGAAAAGAATGTTAAATTAGTTTACAAAGAAGGTGAGCTGTTGAACTCACCATTTAAATAGTGTACTATGCTTTAAGTGGTTTTTAAACATTTTTGTATGTTGTATTTAGTTACTGTGTATAAAAGTTCTCATGATTTGCCATCGCTAAACAAAGTAAATTGAATGATTTTTAAGCACCTTGCCTGAAACACATTTAAAGAAAATTTGCATTTAATATATTTAAGTACTTATTATTTAGACACATATTTTTGTTACCTAAACCTCTTGCGTTCATTCCATTCTGTGTACTGTTTCCAGCTGTTGTTCTATGAAAACATTTTTGCCTCTTCCTGAAGACTGCATGTCTTGTTCAGTTTTCTTTTTCACTGTGTGCAATAACAAATTCTAAAAGCCTAGGTGCACTAATGTGAAAACAGATCTCCAGATTTGACACAAGTGACTTCATTGCACTTCATAATTAGACTATGTGGGTTATTACAATGGGCTTGCTTTGTTCCTAAAATAAATTTATTCCACATCAACGTCTTATTTCTGTGTTGTTTCTGGAAACGCAAAAAATAGGAATATTGTGTCCCCATAAGTTATAGTCTATCCACAATCACAGTGTGGATTTCAAGCTAATACATCCACCACTGACATGGTATTCTCCCTCAGACAGTTGCAGGAGAAATGTAGGGAGCAACAACAGCCACTCTTTGTGGCCTTCATAGATTCACAAAGGCCTTTGATTTGGTTAGCAGGGATGGCCTTTTTAAAGTACTTCCCAGGATTGGATGTCCACCTCAACTCCTTAACATCATCAGGTCCTTTCATGAGGAAATGAAGGGCACTGTAGTTTTTGATGGCTCAACATCAGATCCCTTTGTCATACGAAGCAGAGTGAAACAGGGCTGTGTCCTCGCACCAACCCTTTTTGGGATCTTTTTTGCTGTCATGTTGAAGCACACCTTTGGAACTGCAACAGAAGCTGTCTATCTCCGGACTAGATCAGATGGAAAGCTCTTTATCTCTCTAAATTGAGAGCGAAGACCAAAGTCCAGTTGAAATGCATGCGGGACTTCCTCTTCGTCGATGATGCAGCCATTGTTGCCCCCTCTGCTTAAGATTTCCAACAACTCATGAAACGTTTTCGCAAGGCCTGCCAAGACTTTGGATTAACAATCAGAAAGAAAACACAAGTCATGGCCAGGGTGTGGACTCACCTCCCATTATTACCATCTCCACGCAAGAATTGGAGGTTCATGACTTTGTGTACCTTGGCTCAACAATCTCTGACACACTCTCCCGAGATGTCAGGCTGGATAAACACATTGGCAAAGCAGCTACCATGTTCTCTAGACTCACAAAGAGAGCATGGCTCAGTAAGAGGCTGACAGCACATATCAAGATCCAGGTCTATAGAGCCTGTGTCCTGAGCATACTCCTGTACTGCAGTGAGTCCTGGACCCTTTGTGCTCTACAGGAGAGGAAGCTGAACACGTTCCATATGTGTTGCCTCTGATGCATTTTTGGTATCACCTGGCAGGACAACGTTCCAAATAGAGTAGTCCTAGAACGAGCTGGAATTTTTTGCATGTATACAGTATACTGAAACAGCGACGTCTGTGTTGGCTTGGGCATGTCGTGAGAATGGCTGATGGTCGGATTCCAAAAGATCTCCTGTATGGAGAACTAGTGCAGGGAAGCCGCCCCTGAGGGAGACCACAGCTGCGTTACAAGGACATCTGCAAGCGGGATCTGAAGGCCTTAGGAATGGACCTCAACAGATGGGAAACCTTGATGTCTGAGTGTTCAGCCTGGAGGCAGGCGTTGCATCACGGCATCTCCCAATTTGAAGAGACCCTTGTTCAGCAGGCGGAGGCAAAGAGGCAGTCACGAAAGCAACAAAATCAGGGAGCTGGACAGGGGACAGATTGGATTTGTCTTCAGAGTGGAAGGGATTGTCACTCTCAAATTGGCCTCCTCAGCCACACTAGACGCTGTTCCAAGTCCTCCATACAGAGCACGTTACCATAGTCTTTTGAGACTGAAAGATGCCTAACTAAGTTATAGAATGTCTACTTTTGTTTATACCCTGTCTTTCTGACAGAAGTGGCAGTGAAAGCTAACAGGCCTGGACTCCAGCTTTTCAGTTCAGCTGCAACAGGCCTGAACTGCAAAGCTGAAGCTTCACAGAGACTGTATCTCCATCCCAGTTCTATGCCCTCAGAGTAACCATGGAGATCCTACACAGTGGATGCACTATACCCTCAGTTCCTAAAATGCCCTCTCAAGGCCCATAAGATTGTGCCCTAAATTATTAAGAGCTGTACATAGTGGCTACAATCCTATTAAGGGCACTCACAGGGGGGCAATCATTCAGCACTTTCCACCACACAACTATTTCCCCAACTTGGGAAAGCACAGGACACAAGCAGGCTCACTAGCACGCTTGCCTGTTTTTGTGATGCACAAATCCAACAGGTCTCTCTCCAGTTTGGAATTCATAGCATTATGAAAACTCCCCTACACAAGTCAATGTTTCCAGCAGTGTTCGTTGTTAAGTGTTGTGAGGAACTGGGGTATTTGAAAACTACAGCAGTTATCTCAGAGAGCATGATTAAGCTACATAACTGTGGCTATCAAGTCAGTTAAGGAAACTCTTTCCAGGGTTTTTTTTTCAGTAGAGAGTTTACCATTCCCTTCTGGGGGTACCTTGGGACTGTGTAACTTGCCCAAGGCCACACAGGCTAGTTCTTCTGGGATGTGCAGTGGGGACTCAAACTCTCGACATCTGGATCTGCACCCAAGTAACTAATCCAGCCAGCTGGATAAAAATTCCATACAAATAGCTTATATTTACTAACAAGGTATCAAGTACTGGGGATAGGCTATTTGAATCTTTTGGGTTCCCAACTCCCGGAAAACTATAGCCAGAAACCCACACATAAGAGATCCCTCTGTATTTTCTCATCTGAAACAGGGGTTCCATACCTGTTTTGGTACCACGTCCTGCTAATATTTTTTTTTAAATGGAACCTGCCACAGCAGTTTCTGGGAATTGTCTTCACTGCTCTTTAAGCTCCATAGAGAGCACCTCCTGAAAAACCACGGCATCCAGAAACCACTACAGTAGCTTTCAATTCCTGGGGAATTCTGAAGATAGGATGCAGATCTGGCTGTAAATCATCTCTTGACCATGGAAACCCATCAAGTAGCAGCAAAGGTCAAACAGCAGATTTAAAATATTATGCATACAGTACCCTAAAACTCCTATTGGGATTGTAACAAGTGGGATTTAAGCATTGTGGACCTCCTTACATCTCTGAACTTTTCAAAATAGCCCTACAGGATACAGTATAAATAACACACAGCCAGATCTACTGTTCACTTTACGTTATTCTCATCTACAGAAATTTAAGTAATCCAAGCAAGTTTCAGCATGACTTAGAGCCCTGTTCTCTTCCTTCTATGCTAGCCACTTGGCAGCCTACAGGGAGACTCATCTGTTTGGCTAGCCACTCCCTTCCCTTGCCTGGAATGGCTAGCTGAATAGGAAGAGTGGGGCTCCATGAGTGATGATTGAAGGGATAAGTGAGGCCGGTTCAGCCCCAGGGGGTAGACCCTCATTAACTCCACTTGTGCCGGGGTATTTGTATATGAATATGCATCTCTAGTTACTACACATTATTGAAGTTCCTTTCTGCCATCTAGTGGTCAACTTTTTCCTTCAAAACAGAACTGCTCAGGGCCTCAAGACCAAAGGCCAATGAGACAGGATCTTATATTACATTTTGCTTCAAAAAACACGAGGGCTTATTTTCAGGGGATGTTTTATTTTTTTAATGTACCACAATACATTTATTCAAGCAGTCATGTCCTCTTGGGGTAGGGCTTATATTACAATCATACTAGGGCTTTTTTTCAGAGAAACGGTAGTTTAAACAATGACAGGACATTTAGCTAAGCAAGAGAGCTAACGAGCTGCTCCTGGCTTAAGCACAACTTCAGTCTGGGATGTTTCTTTCACATACAGTAAAATACATGGTGAACCCTTTAGAATGCTATATTACAAGTTCTTAGAACTTTTATTGCAATTTACTCTTTGAAGTATTTCTGAGTTGTAGCATTAATCATGGGACAAAATGTAACTTGCCCTTAAAAATATCACTCAGTGTTCAGCTGAGCAACACCAGTTATAAGCAAGTCATTGTTTTTGCACTGTTGCGTAACCAGTGAGACCATGAACAGGGGCCATCCACTAGTTCAAAGGCAGTGCTTTAAAGCATATTAAGAAAAGTTCTACACAAAAGGAGTGGTTTTATTTAGCTTTTATTTACAGTATATGGAGCACATCCCTTCAGCAATCCTTTGATGCAAGAATGGTTGTTTCTTAGCGCTTTCACTCCAGAAGGTCAAGGAAAAATCTTACTGAACCTGAGAACAAGGAGAGGATTTAGAAAGCTGGCCAATGAGCACCTTGGCACCAATCCAACAAGAAAGCTTACACGCCCACCATTTTCATAAGGATTCAAAATCATACATGCCAACAGCCATATTTCCTCAAGTCAATGATCACTGGCTGGCTATGGATGTTGTGTACGCATATAAATTAAAATTTAAACAATTTTGAATGTTCTGTGACTCTTGCTTCCTTACAGTTTTGATTGGTATTTAAGATTTTTGCTCAACCTGACATGTTTGTCTACAGCAATATTATATCCTCCATTCTGTGGAGCATTATTTTAAGTCCTTGTGAATACATCCTGGGGAAACACAAAGCAACGAGCTGCTATAATGGAAAACTGTGGGTAACACTACCTGCTTTTGGCAACCAGTGCTGGAAGCTCAGATTCAATGTCTCTTCATCTGCATCAGAAGTCTAACACGCCAAAAGAGAATCATCATGGCAGCCAGCAACATGCCAAGTCAGCACCACTTCCTGCCTCCCACAACCGGCATGATTTCCCCGACCATGCCAAATGGATTGACTTCTAATTGCACCCCAATCACAGCCACCTCCCACAGCCTAACAGAAGTCCTCTTTTAGATTTGGAGTAGTCAAAAAGACACTACTGCAGTGAGAATCAAAACACAGCATCAGCCAACACTAAAGGTGACTGTGGTCTACAAAGGTTATGCCACAGTATATAAAGTGCCACATGATAAATTAGTAGCTTTTTCTTTCAAGCCAACAGACATGTTTCTCTGGAAATGTTTTAAAGAAATACACCTTTACTGTCCAATCATCCTAGATTTAGGAATCCAGCCCATTAATCTTCGGTGCTTTGACAATGTACAGCGTAAACGAAAACCACAGGGGGAAAAGCATGCCCTGTGCTCCCCTTTCACTAAACGAGAACACTGTGAAATTCTGCACTTGAGTCCATAAACTAAGGGACATTTTGACCACCTCAAGAAGCCCCCAAAACGAGGATCTTTGAAAGCAAATATAAAGCGACCCCATTCCCCTCCCTTTCGGTCCCGTTACACATGCTCTGGTCACAAGGCACTAAAACTTGCTGGCCACGGCTAGCCACCC